CAGTTTCTGCATGAGCAATAAATAAACCTGAATGTCCCTGACAGGACTGATTTTCTAAGCCATCCTCCAGAGGAGGCTCCTGGCCGCGCCGTGAAAGGCACCGCCTGAGACCTGGGGACTCCCCAGCCTCCCCGTCCTGGCCCAGCGCCGCAGACATCGCCGGCCAGGGGACATTGCTTCCTTACGGAGTGAGCCCCAAGGCTGCGCAGACACAGCCTCCGCGGGGATTTTGGCAGCCGGTACACGGTCAGGTGGGTCTGGGATGCCAGTGGGGCAGCGATGGTAAGGGAGAGGCAGCTATTGCAGCCTGTTAAAGGAGGTGCAGTATTGACCCCGATAGCGATGGCCATTTCTGTTTGGGACACGTGCTGGTACTGCGGGCCCTCGTCCCCCCTGGCCCCAAATCTTGGCGATCACGGCAGATTTTTGCTTTCAGAGCAGACGATGTGATCAAGGCCATCAAAGGACCTTCCCCCTGTGCACCAGCACCGAGGGGATGTCTCAGGGTATCCAGTTACTATTTAAAGTGAAGCAAACCAAACCAGAATATAGGCTGCATTTTGTAAAAATAACATCACCTCCCTCTTTAAGAAGGGCTTTTTGCCCTCAAATTGCTGCCTGTGAAAGGGCTCGCTGCTGGTAAGTCCCCAGTTGGGGTTCCCAAGACCCCGGGATGCTCCATGGCCGGACCCTGCCTGGCCCCAGCGCTGAGCGGGGAGCACAGGAAAGGCAGCCCCGGGTCTGCCCGGCTTCGCTCCTGCCCGGGAATATAGAATAACTCGGTATCAGCTTCCCCATAACTATTTTAATTTCACTTCTCCTGTGTGGTTTCCCTGGCAGCTAAACCGAGAACTCTGGCTTTTCCCTCCCTATACTCCACCGGTGAGAAGAGCAGGGGTGGCCCTGGGGACGGGGGGTCCTGCAGCTCGCAGGGCTCACGTGGGGTCACCCTCTCTCCCCCTGGAGCTCTTCCCTGCGGTAAAGCCGGACAGGATACATTTTAGGGCCGTTCTAAAGGTTTTCTGCTTCATCCATGTGGTTAGTTTTGCTCTCTCTAAATCCCCTATTATTACACATTCTTTAAGTATTTTCTTTAAGTATTATGAGAAACGTTCAACACGGCAGGAATTTTTCCCTTTACTTAGAGGGGGAAGGGACCGGGTCTTGGTCTTATTTCTCGGCTCTGGAGAAGTCGTGATGAAGGAAAGGTGGTGGGAAAGCTGCTCGGTGAGATGGCCAGGCTGGCAGGGCCTTCTCAGGTGGAGGTGGTTGGAGAAGGGATGGAGCAGCTTCTCCTCGCTCTCACGCCTCGCACGCAACCACCAGCCAAAAGCCAGGAGCCCGGCTAGGAAAGGCGACCCTAAAAATGTTCCTCGCAGCGCAGAGCCAAGAAATCTTGCTTTTCCAGAAAATATTTTGAGGTTGCAGTGAGATGTCTGACAGAAGCCCCCGTTACGCAGCCCCAGCCACGTTGGTGGTCCCGGGAAAGCCCTCAACAGGGCACGCAACTGCGGCCAGAGATGCTGGATGGAAGTTCTTGTGGTGGCATGTCACGTCTTGGTACTGGAGATGCGCACGGTGGTCTCATCCTTACCCCACCGGCAAGTGGACATTACTGACCCTTCCTCGACTTCCCTGGCTGTGGTGGGGAACACCACCAACCCTTCTCTCATCATGAAGTGATCCGAGTCCCCTAATTTGATTTAACTCTCCCCAAATGCTGTATATATTTTTTTTTACTTCACCGAATCATTTCCTTAAAGTTTAATCCTATTCCCTGTGCAGCCTTTTTTGGGGCTTATGTATAAAATAACATAACGGAGATTTATTTTAATATATCTTTAACTAATGCAGTGCACGTGGCGGTGAAGAACCTCCTTAGGAGGTCAACCAACCGAGAGACTTCAACACCGCCATAAGCTGGCCGTTTCTTCCCCAGATCTGCCATTTTTGCCATGAAATTAATTTGGGGTGTTCCTGAGAGCAAGGACGGGCTGAACTGTGCCATCGCCTCCTGCTTCGGACGCTGCAGGGTTGGCCCGGAGGTGCCGCAGCCCAGCGGGGGACGGCGAGCACACGCTATCGCACTGCGCTCGGGTAGAAGAGCAGAGGTTTTTCAAAGTTCATTATGGGCAAAATAAGACGGAGAATGAAATTAAAGCTTTGCTGTGGGACTGGACATTTGAGAATGCAAGGGAAAACAATCTCCTAAGCGCTGTTATAAGCTACCACGGGTGTTTTCTGCCAAGATTTACTTAGACTTCAGGAGTTTCTGTTTAAAAGATTGTTTTTTAGGAAAAAGAAATATTTGTTAATCCATTAATAAGTAATTAGTTAATGACTCATATGAAGTGCTAGTTACATTTACAAAAATTCAAGTTGAATATTGCAAATTCCAGTTCCCGGAGAACCCAAACCGGCGTTGTTTCAGCCCACAGAAGGGTTATTCAGCTGACGGTCACGTCCGCTCTAGTTGCAGCCTGTGTATTAGCCAGAGCATTTAGAAACTGTTTTGTTACAGCTTTAACATACTCCCATAACAAACTTCCATCCCTTTCCTGTGTTGATAGTGGCAGCGGTTCGTGGCGCACTGTATCATCCATAAGTTTACTTTCTTTCTTCCAAGAAAACGATATTATACGCACATTTGAATATTAGATAATTAGCTTGCATTTCTTCAGTGTCTGATTTGAGGCAGCACGTGCATTTATATTTACAACATGACAAGCAAATAGGCTGGGATCTGAAAAAAAATAGATTATTTATTTACTAGTAACAGTAAGGTTGGGAAACGGAAAAAAATGCAAACTGGACCGTGAGTCCTGGAATAAAAAATTAGTAGCACGTGCAAACATGGTTAAATCAATCCTAAAGTACATTTTTACAGGAGAGGAAAGGTTTTGAAAAGGGAAGATGTGAGGGCAGAAGCGGTTGGTGGCACCAAGGCCGGGGAGGGGAGAGCACGCGGGGGCAAGGGACCGGCCCGGGGTTCGCTGCTTTGCTGGCTCCGGCTGTGTCTCTGCAAGAGAAGAGGAGTTACACCACCCGAAAAGATTGCTTAGAGTGCAGCCCACGGTATGTAGCGCCAGCGGGGAAAAGAGATACACCCACACCCATATGTAGCCTTGAGGACGCGCTGTCTAATTAAACGCCGGTGAAGCAATCGCCCAGGCTGTGTTACGGGAGTCAGGGCCCGTTTAATGACACACGGCGACGCGGTGCCGCATCTCTCTGATTAGAAACGGCAGGTTTGGAAACCGCCTTTTTTCCAAATGCTAAAAAAAAAAAAAGATTTTCGTGCTAACAGTTTGTGAAGCGGAGAACAAACAATCCTTCGAGTCCACCCGTCAGAACTGAAAATGTCCTAGCACCAAATTTATAATTGCAGCTTCATATAAATCTATGACATATCAGGTGGAGATATAAAAGATACAAGTATTAGACGCATAATTGAGTGCAGGTGATATTAAAATATTACCCCTAAGCCACAAGTCGGGTTTGGTTTGCTTTGGGTTTTTTTTTGTTTTGTTTTGGTAAATGCAGAGTAAACGTTGGCGAAATTGAGCGCAGCTTGAACACAATTAAGTCTGCGCCTAAAGTGGTCGGAAAAGTCTGTGTTTGGAATTTACCTGTGTGCTTTAACAGATTAAGGGACAGTATTAAAAGATCATTTTCAAGTAACGCAAACATTTCTGGCATATTGTATAACACTTGCTTTAAAATTAAGTTAGTTATTTGGAACTTTATGCCAAATGATTATTTGCTCCGTTTTCTGATGACGGTAATACATGACATACCATCACATAATTTGGTAAAAACAATAAGATTACAAAGCCCAAGAAGGGTCTGAGTCAGTCTTTGACAGATTAAAGCTCTCCAAGTCCCCTGAAAACCCTTCTCTGACATATTAATTTGACCTAAACCCTCAAAATGTTCCTGATTATATCATCTCAATTGGGCTTTATTTTTGTTTTATTTTTCATTGTAGGAAATTAAAAAGGGTCGGTTGATCCCTGGCCAAGTTCTTGAAATGTGTTGCAATGCTAAGGAAATAAAAGATTACTCGAAATACTTTTTAATAATATGTCATGTCAGCAGAGATAAAGGTTCACACTTAATGCCCTCAGCTGGCTTCTATCAGCGCTGGGGAGCGCAGCGTCAGTCCCGTCCGGGCTCCGGGAGGGACCCGCGGTTCACCTTGCTTTTAAATCATGAGCTTATGCTGTTATAATTGTGAACATGTTTATGAAATTTGTTTCATTTCTCTTTGTAAGAAGAACTAAAGAGCTGCATAGGTGGAGCTGATCCTGCCTGGGGGCGAGGGCAGAGCAAGATAACCTCCCAAGTCTCTTCCCCTGCCCTGTTTTCTGTCCATTTCTCACCCCGATGGATGGGGGTGGCTGTGGGATAACGTCCCAGAAGAACCCCCCCGAAGCGGGTCAGACATCCGTCCCGCGGAGGCACTGGGCAGGAGCACCTGAACGTGCCTCGTACGAAGGAAAACCACGTCAGCAGGGTTTGGGGCTTTGCAGGGCCACCGGACTTCAGTGGAAGGGAGGAGTAACGCGGGGACAAAACCATTGCATAGTTCAGATTACAACACGGCGTAGCTGGTCTCCGGATTTTGAGACACTTTGTGAAGGAAGGTTAAGTATCGTTACCCTCAATAAAAATTAAATCAAAAGTTAATCGGCATCGGCCTCTCTGAGGGCCGCGCCAGGAGGTGCCTGCACTCCTTCCAGGGTCCTCTCCCGTGTAACCCCAGGCACACGCGGCTCTACAAAAGCCTGGGGAAGCAAATTCCAGAAACATCCTGCCATATACTTATTTTACAGCTCATGTGCACCTGTCCCGACTGCCATTACATGTTCGTTTTCCACCGTGAGCTCAACAGGCGCTCAGCTAGATCTTTCAGAGCCCCATTTGCAGACAGGGATGCTAACTGTCCGCTCCCGAATCAGGCTGCAGGCATGGTCCGAACCAGAGCTGGCACCGGGACCATGCGCACGGAGAAGTCGGCAGCCAAAAAAGCTGGCAGCTTTCAACCAGGTGCCCCAGGCTGGATGTCGGGCTCTGGCGTTCAGCACCTGCGTCTGCACCCATTCACTTCCTCCAGGGCCTTTTACCTTAGACAAACGCCTGTCCCGGTGAGATGTGCCAGGAGTTTGGTGTATAAATGTCTGTTAAAAAGTGTAAATGAGTATACATGTGTATAAACGAGTATCAGCGTGCAAACCCCACCATAAACCGAGTGATGAGCATCCTTGGAATGGGGATTTGAGGATAAAGATGTGAGTCTGGGGCATTTAAAATACACGTTTGTCAAAAGTTCTGCCAGATAGTGGCTGTCTGACATTTGGTTTTGGTTGTCTCCACAAAGGCAACGCAGTTTTCACTCTGCTGCCAGCCCGAGGCTTGGAAGAAATGTGTGCACGAGGGCGCAGACCCTGACGAATACGGCAAGAAAACCTGAAAAGTGAAACATTTTAATAAACCAGCGCTCCCCTGAGACTCTGGGAGCGCTTGGAAGTGGGGCACGGAGCGCTGCACCCCATCCCCTGCCTGCCCCGACGCCACAGCTCCCGCACCCCCCCGCCCCAACCTGCTTTCTCAGCTGGCCTGTGAATTCTATCCCTTTCCACATATTTTTCCGTTAAGGCTCATCTATCCCCTCCCCGGTGGGGAGAGGCAGCGGGGCGAGGGGTGTGCCGGGGATGGGTGGGGGAGGCGGACACCCACCCCGCTCAGCGTGAATACC